GTAGATGATGTGGTACTCTTTCAGGGAGTTGTTATTGTTGATGTTAAGTGCCATGGAGTCATTTTGGACCCATAGCAACTCTGTATAGGATTTCTGAGGAGTGACTGGTGAGCTTGAACCAATGACTTTACACTTCAAATGGCTTTGCAATCTGTCGCATTAACCCACACAGCCACATCAGAACTCCTTTTAGGGAGTAGGGAGGTACAACTTATATCCATCATGACAGATGAAATACTTAGCAGAAATTCACAATATCGTTGTTTAAACTTTGTCAAATATATTTTTTGTTAATAAATACTAAAAAAAATTAAGTAATATTTATTTGCTCTAACACAGTAAGATGATCAAGTACTGCCATCCTTTGAACACTAAAGCTTCTCCCTATCATTTAAAAAACAACTGTGAAGGATCATATTTAGGGAAATATTTGCCTTTGATACAGATAAAGCTAACTTAATGTTTCCCACCCCAACGTGTACTATATATATATTTTAAATAATTGTAACAATTCAAGCTTCAAGCCAACATGATTGGACAGCATGTGAGATTGTCCATTTCTTTGTCTTTGTTTCTGCCTCAAGAATTTTTACCTTTCTCTCTACAAGATCATGATATAGAAAAAATATATTGAGCCTCTATTATAATCCAGTTAACTCACACATGTAATATGAACTCTTAAATACTGCGCCCATGGAAGCAGCAGTCAAGAAATCAAAGGATGTATTGTATTGATTGGAGTCATGGTGTGGCACTGTAGAATAAACACTGGACTGCTAACCATAAGGTCATTGGTTCAAACCCACAAGCTACTCTTTAGAAACCCTATACAGGGTCTTTATGAATCAGAACCAACTGTATGGCACTTAAACAATAAGAATTGCATCAATTAAAGCAAAACTGCTCTAAACGACATCTTTAAAGTGTTAAAAAGTAAAGATGATACTCTGAATACTAAAGTTTACCTGACTCATTATGGTTAGGAATAAGGAAGACCAAAGAGGAATTGCTACCTTTGAACTGAAGCCTTTGAATTATTCAATTATGCCATGTCCTGTAGAAGAACAAATAACTCTACAGATAGAATGCTCTTTGTCACTGTTGATGTTAGGTGCCATCGAGTTGATTCTGACCCATACCGACCCTGTGTGTCATCTTCACAATTACTCCTATGCTTGAGCACATTGCTGATGCCTCTGTGCCAATCAATCTTGTTGGTGGTTTCCTTCTTTTTTGCTGACCCTCCACTTTACCAAGCATGGTGTCCTTCTCCAGGGATTGACCTCTTCTGATAATATGTCTGAAGTATGAGAGTGACAGTCTGGCCATCTTGGCTTTTAAGGATCATCCTGGTTGCATTTCTTCCAACACATTTGTGTTCGTTCTTCTGGCAGCCCATGAGACCTTTAATGCTTTTTTGTCCAACACCATAACTCAAATGCATCAGTTCTTCTATGATCTTCCTTATTCGTTGTCCAACTTTCACATGCATATGAAGCTATTATAGATACCCCGGTTTAGATCAGATGCCCCTTAGTCCTCAAATATCTTTGAGAGGCCTTGTGTAGCAGATTTGCCTAATGCAATACCTCATTTAATTTCTTAACAGCTGCTTCTGTAAGTAAAATAAATTATTTGACCACTTCAATCTTTTCTCCATTTATCATGATGCTATTTATTGGCACAATGGTGAGAATTGTTTTCTTTGCATTTAGGTGCAACCTATACCTAAGCAGTAAGTATTTTAAGTCCTCTTCACTTTCAGCAAACAAGGTTGTATCTATCAACTGCATATCGCAGAGTGTTAAGGATTCCTCCTCTAATCCTGATGCCACATTCTTCTTTGTATAATCCAGCTTCTAGAATTATTTGCTCATCATACAGAATGAATAAATATGGTGAAAAAATACAACCCTGGTACACACCTTTCCTGATTTTAAACCATTCAGTGCCCCCTTCTTTTGTCCCAGTGACTGCCTTTTGGTCTATGTACAGGTTCCTCTTAAAAATGCTCCTTAGCCTGGATGGACAGACATATCTTATGTACCTTGGACATAAGGGGGGGACTGTTTCCTGGAGGAGGACATGATGCTTAGTAAAGTAGAAAGTCAGTAAAAGAAAGGAAGACCCTCAACAACATGGATCGACACAGTGGCTGCAACAATGGGCACAGGTATAGCAACAATTGTGAAAATGGCAGTGTTTTATTCTGTTTCAAATAGGATCACTTGAGATGGAACCAACTTAATGGCACTCAACAATAACAACAAAAACTGCCTTTTCTGCAGATGAAGATGTCAAGACTTTGAATAGCTTGCCAAGATCATAAAGTGAACAGGAGTTAAGAAATGAATTGAAAATGCGAATTGAGTTTGCTCTCTTCAAAGACATGTGTATTGGATCTAAGGAGACCTGGTGACACCATGGTTAAGTGCTTGGCTATTAACTTAATGGTCAGTGTTTCAAACTCACCAGCCACAACAACATGGGGCTAAAAAAATGACAGTCAATTTCTTGAAAGATTTACAGCCTTGGAAGTCCCATGGAGCAGTTCCACCTGCTACCACAGGACCGCTATGAGTTGAAATTAAGTTGATCTCAGTGGGTTTGTTTTTGGAGGGTTGGGTACTGCTCTTCTTTTAAGAAATGTTGTGTGTTTTTTTCTGTTTTGGAGATATCTGATTAAACTTTTGAAAATACATTTAGATATGTATCTGAGAATTAATAAAAATTAAAAGTGCTTTGGAAGAACCTCTTGCTTATTGAAGTTGAGTTCTATTTATCAAATAGGGTTCATAAAAACAAATCATTATTATACTCTTGGCTACTTCCTTAGTACAGAACAGTCAGTGAACTTAAACATAGTAAAGTCATGATATATACTTCAGGCTTAAAAACATATATATATACATATATAGCTTTCTGTTTCAAAACTAAACAAGACAATATCAACAACAAGAAAAATTATACTATGCGACTTCCAAGTAAGGGAATTCTGTTTCCTAAGACTACATTTTTCTATTCAGTGTTGGGCAATAGGCTATAACATTTTAATGATAAGATAAATAAAATGTGTCCCATAATGTTTTTTGTTGATTCAAGCTTTATGAATTATTTATCATGTAAACAAAGTCAAATTACATTTATGGAAAAAAAAAAAAAAAAAAAAATTTAGTTAAGTAATTGGCCAACTCTTCTAACTATAAAAATATCAACTCTTGGTTTTTTATAATGTCTGCAGTAGGAATAATGATGAACTATTTTAATCTTGTGCTCAGAGGCAAAGTGAGGATTAACCAGCATAACATTTCTTGGGAACTTGGCCAATTTTGTGACTTCAAAACTAGTTTACAAGTTTATCCATTAAATGGTGACTTCTATGATTAGGCTTTCTTCATGCCGTTATTTAATTTGCCTAATACTATAATGCAGAAAATTTTCAAGTGCTTGTAAAAAGTTCCTGGAGAGTTTTATAATAACCTAATCTCTCCCACAGTGAATAAACAATTCAAAAGTAAATAATCACTAACAATATAATCAAAGACCTAAAAGGATAAAGGTCATATTTAATTTACTCATCTCTTCTTCCCCATTGCAACGAACACAACAGACTCATTGCGGACTTGCAATACATTTGCTGAATTACCCCATTGGAATAATCTTGTCACCATTTGGAACATCTGTATGATACACTTTTTATTTAGCTTCAAAGTGTCTGTGATATATATTGGCATAAAAGAGCCACATCACATCTCTGTTTTTCATTGTTTCTATTTAACATATTTTGTTATTCTGGGTTCATTTGTGTATGCTAAGCACTAGACTGCTAATCACAAGGTCAGTGCTTGAACCCACTACCCACTGATGGGACAAAGACAAGGTTTCCTGCTCACTCAAAAATTTACAACCTCAGAAACACTATAAAGAGTTACTATGAGTCAGAACTGACTCAACATCACATAACAACAACAACATTCCAACTGCAAAATTTAATGTCAATATTTATAATTTTCTCTTCAAAGCTCTGCTAGAAAGCAAAGGAGTGCCCTATTGTGTTATGGGATTGTTCCCTTAAAGAAATACAAATGACAGAATCACACTTTGTGTTTTTTTTGCTTTTCATTCTTTGTTTCTTTCCAATAAACAAATACACTCTCCCTTCTTCCTCCCATGAGAAAGGGAAGAAGCAGGAAAAAAAAAAAAAAAGCAGGAATGTGAATCATCTGCCATTAAACTATGTTCATCCCTTTTGACCCATCCACTGGGACTTCAAACTTCTAAAGATTTATCTTCTGAGTATATTGCTCTTGGAATTCTAAAGCCAATTTTTTTCTGCAAGATGATACATCAAACTGAATTTGGAATGTTAAGCTAAAGATATTTGTTCGATGATAATAATGAATATTTGGATGATGCCTTATGATAAAGATTTCCTTTGAAATCTTCTGAAAAATCCAAACAGCTGGATTACAAAATACCAATGGTAAAGGCAAATCTAAAACCCAGAGATTAAGGGTATATTTTAGTACTTGAGAGATAAGTTTTTGTTGTAAAAGTTTACTCATTTTGCTTCTGATAACTGCATACTTGGTCATTTAGTCATGTTCAAACTAAACTCTGTTATCTGGGCTAAATCAAGAGTAGAGACACTGTTTAAGTTTTGTTAATGTTTCAGGAAGGTAAACCATAGAAATAAAATAAGCCATCATCCTGGAATCATGGAATATAATACATTGTTTTGGTCAACATTCTGTTTTATAGATGGGGAGTGTACCAGATTGCAAAGTGATGATGTGAGCCCTGGCTTTAAAAGAACCGTCTCCTAACCTCAAGCCTACATCTTTTTCTGCCTTTCTCTGTTTCCTTCACTTCTCATTAGGTGGCACTGTCTCTTGCATTCAAATTGCAGAAATTCAAGCTGAAAATGTTAAACTCTTTGAGCATCCTTTCCAAAGAATAAAACAAACAAGTTAAGTAAACAGAGCCTGTAGCCCACTCACCCAAATCAGAACACTGGACAACTCGAAGATGGCATTGACAACGGAAGGGACACACTGGCCCCAGTGGCTCCAAGTCAGGAAGCGCATGATTTCTATCTTCTGGGCCTATCCCAGAAGCCTCATCCTCTAGCATAAAGTCAAATAAGCCACTCTGTTGAAATGGTCCTGCCCAGGAAACTCGTGCAAGCAGGAGAAAGATGATAGTTGCCTTCATGGTTTATCTCATCTAGTTTTACAACCGGGGAACCTAAGAAAGAAATGAAAGGTTTAGAAAGAGTAGTTAGTATTGAGTGCCCCATAATAGGTTGAGCATAAGGGAAAATGGAAAGGAAAAATAAAAATACCTTGATTTCATTTATTATTAGGAAGCAAGACATTAAAAATATATTTGAAAGAAGATAAAGTACATTACAGATTTAGTTGCTCAGATATTTATTTTTGAAGTAAAATTGGAAAGTCATTGAAATGTACTTGTTTTAAATTGTGGGTCTGAATTAAAACAATATACTGTATTTTACATTATTTGCAAAATCATCATGTAACTCATGGTAGACTCTTCATTGCTCACTCAACACAAGCCATATCACAGTGAAACCAAGTTTTAACTACACACATGAGAGATCTCCAATTTCTGTTTCAAGAAATATCTCTAGAACCCAATCTCATGTCTCCAAAACCAAAAAATGAAACCCACTGTAGTTGAGTTGATTCCAACTCACAGCAGTCGTGTAGAACAGACTATAACTACCCCATAGGGTTCCCAAGGCTGTAAATCTTTCCAGAAGCAGCATATTTCTCCTGCAGAGCAGCTGGTGGGCTCAAACTGCCTGCCTTTCAGATAGCAGCTGAGTGGTATCCTGCTCTGCCCCCAGGGATCCTATTTCGCCATTTCATCTAACTGTAATGAATATTAGTGTTGGTCCTTCTCATTACCTCCTGAAGTATTACCTTGAATAGTCTCTCTCTTCTCCTTGCCATTTTCTACTCTACTGGCCCAGTGATCTTTTAAAAAAATAAACTACCTTACCTTAATGTTCTATTGAAGTCCTGATGTGGCACTGTGGGTTAATGCGCTGCACTGCAAACTTGGTTTGAAGTACAAAGTTGGAGGTTCAAGCTCATCAGCCGCTTCTCGGAAATGGTATACACGTTCACTATGAGTCGGAACCGACTCAATGACACTTAACAACCATACAGCAATCTTCTATTGAAGATCGTTTGTTGACTTTCCATAGCTTGCCAATAATTCTATATTTCCTTGAGTCACTTTTAACAGTTTGGTGTCAATTTATATTTCTAGCCATATTTCTCTGTATTTCTAGCCATTTGCTCATTGCTCCCAGTTTCCAACTCAATCCTGCTGCTCCAAACTAATTGCCAACAAAACTACCTACCTTGGAAGAAAGTTGTGAAGAGTAAGAGATAGCAGTTTCCTTCTGTATCCCCCTGCTTATTCTGAAGATGAGATTGTTTCCTCTCTTTTGTGCTTCTGAAGAACGTTGGGCTTACCTCTTTTACAGAAGTTATCACATTATGTTGTAATTTGTTGTGTGTGCTTGGTCTGTCCCCCCACTAGGCAATGCACTCATACAGGGCGTGTCTTTTTATTTTTTGTTCTGTATCCGGAACTTGCATAATGTTTTGTATGTAAATAACTCAATTGGCCATCAATTTATTAACAATAGAATTTACTCCATTTGTTCCAAGCAATCCATGAATCCTTTTAACTTTTTTCCCAAAACAAAACAATTTTTTTTCCCAAAATTTAGTTGTTACTACAAGAAAATTACTAAATTGGAAGCCACAACCTGGTATAAAGCAAGGTTCGTTTTTTTTAAAGGTGAATTTATTGGGTCTGTTTTCCCCAAATAGATATATTTAAATAAAGAGATAAACTATGGAGGGTTTCAAAATGCTTGTGGAAAAAATTGAATGGATTTTATACTATATGGATAATGGAATTTTGTACTAATACTTTGAAGTTCCCTCATATATGGGGAAATGCTAGTTGATTTTTAAGACTTACCAGATATTACAAATTGAACTATTTTGTAAAAAGAAACAAATGTGAATTTCTTTATTGAATGAGCACTTATAGATCTATTTATTATTCTATGTTGTTGAGTTGATTTAATTAGTTAAAATGAACATTTAAAAAAAATAAATCTGAATAACAAAAATAAGTTGATCACATATAACAGAAGTGGTTTATTTTTAAGATAATGTATTTTTGGACTCTGTTCTTATGGTTCCAAGTGTTCACAAAACATATTGTAGACATGATTTGCCTTTAATTCTCATTACCTATATTTTGAATTGTACACATGCATGATTTTACACTAGGTTGCACATTTCTAGTTATAATTATTAAACTGCTGTTTGAAGACATCATGCAATCATGAGATAACTAAAAGAATAAAATAAAATAAAATAAAATCTTTCCACATCCTAACCTTAATTTGTCTTCTGCAAAATTTTGCTTAGATCCACTGCAGATGAAACAGATTTTTTTTTTTCCCCCTTAGTTTATATTTATTACCAAATTATGTCTTAGGCAGCACCTACACAACACAGACTGAGGACTTTTCATTTTTAAAGTAATGTGCAGATCCTTTTTCACACTAGCACTTTAAGTTCAGTATCAAGTTTTCTCTAGTAATCACACCACCAACAATGAATGCATTGCCCTTTAAGAGGAGAGCCTATTGTTTGGCCTAGCAGGATTTACTTAGACTAGATCTAAAGGATATAGACTAGATGTAACGGAATGGTTTTCTGTCTGTTTCACATTAAAATGCAATGTGTATGGTTTGCCACAAGTTTGCTGGCCTTGCATATTTAATGTCTTACAATTTTAGAAGAAAAATGAAGCAAAAAATTGGCAGATTTAATAAATAGCAACAAGAGTTAATACAGATGTCACTTTATCATTTCTCCAGAGTAGACAATGCCTGGTTGTTTCTCTAACAACCTAAAATAGGAAATGTAAAATATTCTTTTAGGTTGAAGCTAAATGCAGAGGTAGCTATAGTTTCAATTACTTATTTTATATCACTTTCATTTTCTAATGTGTGTGTGTGTGTGTGTGTGTGTGTGCATTTTAACTCTAATGTTCTATTGCTTGTTTGGACACTTTATACAAATTCCTTCAGGAAATAACTTCTTTGTAATTAGTGTCATGTTATTTGAGATTTGAGAATTTTAAAGCAACTTATATGTACTTTTCATAATAAAATTTCTTGAGTTCTTAACTTATTTATTTAATGTATCAGAAAAATAAATATCCAATAAATAGCAGATATTGTAAACATTTTCAACATGCATTGTTACTCCATTAAAAGTAGTTGCCACAGTTAATACATTTTTAATTAAAATATTAAATTTCTAGCTCTTAAAATGACTTTACACTTTAGCTCTTTCAGTTTACTATAGGCTTGGGATCAACATTTATATTATGCCTAATGATTTTTATGTAAGTGTCAAAGTAAAAATTTAACCCTCAGAAATAAATGAAGCTATAAATGCAAAGAAACATTAAAATTTCCCATCACTGGTTGAATTAAAAATCAAAAAATAATACAAATATTTAAAATATTAGCCATACAAATGACATTTATCCATAAATTGGGACTGCTATGAGGCATTTGGTTCGTGTTTTCTTGTCAAAACTGCAAGAGGAAGAAAAAGCCACAAGTATTTACACAACTGGTAGCCCACTTACAAGTGGTCATCCTGTAACCTTGCATTGAAATTGGAAAAAAAAAAAAAACCCACATCCTCTTTTCATCATGAATGCATCATGTAATAAACGTCATTTGCATTGAAAATATTGCTTTTCTTTACATTGAAGGAGTGATGCTTTGCGAATAGTTTACTTAAGTCTTTAATATTTGGCATATGTTTTTTTCCATATTTACTTTCAGTTTTCTGCTGATACGTTCTGTTTTTATCTAGGGATACAGAAAACCTCATTGGACTTAGACAGCTAATTACCAGAATTCACTTCTCTGGGGTCTTAAAATTTCTCAAAGTATACAAGAATTTATGAAGGAGAGAAATCATTTAAAAAATAAGCAAACTAGGAATACTGTGCTCACCTAGAATGCTTTTCTGTTCACAGTTCCTCAAGAGCTAAACATTTCATTAGTGCAAATACAGAATATATCAATGTAGGTAGTCGTGGTGTTAGGTTACAGTTCGTTTTTTGTTTTTTTTAATAAATTCCCTTGCAAGAACAAAAGAAAAAAATTTAAACAAGTCATTCAATCATTTTACCAAATATTTAACTTGATTTCAAGCAATACTTTAAAAAAATTCTGCATAAAAATTATTTAAAAGTTTAGTACCATTTTTTCTTTGCTTTTCTTCTCACTAAATAATTCTTTTTGCTCTTAACTTGACTGAAGTTTTATTAGTTTGTAGCAGAGTTCAGGACAATTATTGAAAAGCATACCTTTTAATCCGGGGATTTGCCACAGGAGCCCTCAAAGCTGAGATGTAATTACACTAAATATTCAGCCCAAGCAAAAGAGTTTGCAGGTGTGGAAAGGAGGCGGGGGTTAGGTGCTGCTCTGTGACTGTCACTAGGTTGAAAAGCTCCTGCTTCTACTCCATGGCTCAGTCAAAAACTAAGGTTTCCCTCAGTGAACAGAATCCGGCTGACACCCACATTAGATCATATGGTAATGATATGTCTCTTGTATTAAAGCCAGAAACTTTATCGGCTTTTTGCCTCCACTTTTGCTTTATCCCTTTTGCATCTGTTTAACATTCTAAACTGCTTATGTAGTATAGTAGAACAACTTGCCTTAAAATTTGTAATATTTTGCTGATACATTTCCCTAAAATACTGTAACTAAAGAGTTTCTTTCCCCACCCCCAATCCACTCAACTCTTTCCAGCCTTGTTTGTAAGTATTATTTATCATATTTCCCAAATAAGACATTTTCTGTCTTCCAGGATATGTACATGCATATGGAATGAAACTGATCTTATAGTTATTTTAAATGTGGTCTGCAAAAACAAATGAATAGCCGTATATGAAATTATTCATTTGGATTCTTGCTTGCCTTGGAATTTTTTGTGCATATTTTGTTCCTATGCTGTGGAGTTTTTCATATATTTTTAACATAGTTCTAGAATTTTGGGGAAAAAACATGGCTTTTTATGAAAAGCACATAACATATTATTTTTATTACTCATTGTTTAAAATCTCTTTTACTGCCCATCAGTTTTGTTTGTTTAGATCTCTTAATAAATCACACAGATATTAAAAATTGGTCACAAATAAATTGAACCTGTATTTGAAACATTTAATTTTTATAGACTATTTTTTATATTATCTGGAGCTTTGAAAAGGTAGTCAATTCCATAAAATCTTGCCAAATTTCAGTAAATAGAAGAAAAGTACAAATACAAAGAAAGATATTTATTTAGGCACTGGAAAGCTGTTTTTGTAATTCCCTTGCTGGATGCTGTTAGTTCTTGTAAGTTTTGACTTGTGTCTTTGTGCTCTGGCCCCTAGGCTGTTACCAGGTGGAAAGCAGAAATCAACATCTGTGAAACAGGAGAGGTTAATGCTTTGCTAATCCTTCACCCTTTCTCCTTCCTCTCCTGTCACCATCCAAGTCTGCACTTCTACAGAAAAGAATCTTTTGCTTTAATGAAACTTGAAGGCAAAATTAAATTCTTGAGTGTGTGTTTAAAGACGGAGGAGAAGGGTTGCCACGTTATTATTTTGCCTTTTTTTCCTCTCTATTCCTTAATAAACTCATACTTCACAGTACTCAGAGTCTAAACAAATTAGTCATCTTGATTTTACAAGTCCAGACTCCAACTCACTATGACCCCAAGTGGGTCCTGTAGAAATGTGCTCCAGAGGGCTTTCGGTACCTGGTTTTCCTAATAGATTACCAGATCTTTTATTTTTTTTTTAAACTATGGCCAAGTGATAATTTTTTTTAGACGTTTTACTTATGTCCAGGGGCAAAAATATATGAAGGCTGCCCTTTTATTTTTGTAAGTAACTCACTTCTAAAATTCCAAGCATTTTCACAACCATCATCTTCCTTAAAACTTTCCCCTATAATCAGATGTTAAGTTACATGCATCGACACACCCAGTTTTAGATGGAAAAACTAAGTCATTAAAAAGTCATGTACAGTTAAGTCACAAAGAGGTCATGGCAATGTCACGAGAATTCAGGTCTCTTACAATCTAACATGAAATGGAACAATTTTGAGACTAGAATCAGCACTTATACAGAGATTGCTTAAACTCATCCTGGCTTGCGTTCACTGAAATCTTGGCTTCCATATGAATATTTGAAATATTCATACTCTGAGCACATATCACATCTGCTGTTAAAACTACTTAAACTGTGATTTCTACCGACAACCCACTAGCTAACAAGGCAGCTATAATCTTCATCTTGTCAAAGTTTATTTCAGGGTTAGTCATTCTTTCTCACCATCATCAAAGATAAGTGATTTAAATTATACCTGCATTTTAAGGGTTTAAAGAATGCCAGAACTTAGAAAGGTCTTCTGACACTCTTTTATTTTCAAAGAGGTCTGCAGCCAGCGATTATCTTTACAAACCTGATGTGACTGATTTTTTTTCTTAGATGGACTCTTCAAATTCAGGTCAGAGCCTGCAACGGGTTGTCTGCCGGCTCTCTATTTTGCCACCTTACACAGATTCCTTCCTTAGCTGGAAAAAAAAGACTGGAATTCAGGACAATTTTGAATGTAGAATGGCCTGAAATACAATTTGGTGGCAGTGAATTTTTCCTTGGCAATATTTTTACTTTTCATGTGCCTATACCCCTTCTCTCCTCCAGCCCATCACCACTGTACTCAATGTTCCTGCTACTGTTACCTTGTTACCGGACTCTGCTCTACACAACTGCCTCAAACCCCAAGCCTGACAGTACAATCCATGTGCATGTGTGGTTGATCTTGTTGCTCCCTAACCACTCCTGGATGAGTGCAGTCTAATTGTCAGTCCCTTCCAAATCTAATGTAAAAATGTACCACTTTGAATTGTAGCCACTCATATCTTAATAGTATTGTACTTTAAGAGACTAAATAGGTAGAGTCAGAAAAGAATGAAGATGGATTCAGTTGTAAAGAAAATAGATTCCCCAACACACATTCCACTTCAAATAATTAGCCTAGCCAGTTGAGTCCTGGTGTGGCACTGCAGGATAATGCACTGTACCTCAAGGTCGATTTGAACTGCAAAGTTGGCAGTTCAATCCCACCAGCTGCTTCTCAGAAACCCTATACAGGATCATTATATAGGAATCAACTTGATGGCACTTAACAACAATAATTTCCTTTCAACAATTACTTTAGGAAAAGCATGCCACTGAACCCTGATACGGTGTGATGAGAAGTCAGCTGATGGTACTTTAGTTAGTTATGATATACAGAGGAGATGGCACCTCTCAGGGGTGTATTACTCAGTAAGCATGGACTTAGTTGTACTTACTTTCTATACTAATCTGTAGTGAACTGTTTCACATGCTTTTCGTGTACTTTTTTCATAGTTTTTATATATTTATTATGCCATTTTTTTTAGGTACTCTGTCTGTGTCAAGGATAGTAAATTTGAAAAGAGTTTCTGATCCTGTACAAAGATGCTAGGGGGTTGAGAAAGAGACAGATGTCAGCAGAATCTTTCATATGGTGGAAAATGTGAAATTATTCACTACAGATTGGTACATAAGCACTTGTACTTACCTTATTTATTTCAGGACCACCTGGATATTTCATAAATCGATGTGATGCCTGAAACTTCTGCAGCTAACATCTGATAAGGAGGTGTTAGAGATCTGAGAAAAAAAAACATTGACTGAGAACAGAAGAAAAGTGAGATGACATTTGTGAGTTGCTAAATGCTGTTGTTGTTAAGAGCCATCAGGTCAGTTCTGACTCATAGTGACCCTGTACAGGGTTTCCAAGAAACGGCTGGTGAGCTGCAACAACCAACCTTGTGATTCAAACCAACCTTACAGTCCAGCTTATTAACCTAGAATTTCAGGGTCTGTTTTGTTGTTTAGTGCTGTTGAGTTGGTTCCCACTCATAGCTATATTATGTGGAGTTTCTCAGATGGTAAACTTCTGTGGGAGCAGAAAGCCTTATCTTTCTCACACAGAATGTCTGGTGGACTCAAACCACCAAACTTGTGGTTCAAAGTTCAGTGATTATCCTACAGAACCACTGTACTACCCAAAAGTTTATTTTGTTGTTGTTGTTAAGTGCCATTGAGTCAGTTATGACCCATAGTGATCCTGTATAGGGTTTCTGAAGAGCTAGCTGCTGGTGAGCTTGAACTTCCAACCTTGAGAATCAAACCAACTTTGCAGTCCAGCGCATTAATCTACAGCACCACACCAGGACTCCAAGGTTTACTTAGCAACTCAAAAAGATAAAATGATGTCAGGCTGAAATACAGCCGGAATCCAGAATGCTCCTTCTATAAGCAAGGATGGACAGAAAACTTAGAATGCTTTGTCTAATTCCTGGCTGCAAAAAGTATGTAGGAAAAAGAATTGTCTTAACAACTCAGAAGAGCCATGGGGGAGAGACCACTTTATGGAGAATGGGTAGAATTTGAGCTGAATGCTGATGGATCAAAAGAGTGTGCATGGGGTGGAAAGAGAGAGAAGACAAGCTAGGCTAGTGGAATGATGCTAGAAAACTTTCTGCAGTAGAAAAACAGGAGGCAATAATTAAATTAATATACCTCAGAGGTCGACTTTGTTTCAAAGCAGCTGTGAGCTCCTTGGGATAAGAGTGTGCCTTCATCATCCTTGTACAGGGTTAGTCAGAAAGCATTGCTACTAGGGCTCCTGTTCATATATGCAGGGGCTTATTTCAAACAAAAGGAGCTCTGGTAGAGTAGTGGTTACGAATTGGACTGCAAACTGCAAGGTCAACAGTTCAAAAGTACCAGCTGTTTCGTGGGAGAAAGTGGAGGTTTTCTGCTCCCGTAAAGATTTACAACCTCAGAAACCTTGTACAGGGTCGCTATGAGTCGAACCAACTCCATAGCACATAACAACAACAACAACAATTTCAAACAAAGTGTATTTAGACATCTCTGTGATCAACGGATAGCTGAAGACAAGTTCTCTGAGTAGTAAAATGATCTTAGTTTCATTGTCAGGCTCCAAATCATAATGATCCCATGCACAAAAGAACAAAATACTGTCCGGTAAAGCACCATACTCACAATTGTTGTTCCCCTTGGCCAATTGTTGTTGCCATTGTACCAATCCATCTCCTTGAGGGTCTTCCTCTTTATCACTGACCCTCCAATTTACCATCCAGGAAATGAATATGAATACTCATATTCAACAGCATAACTCAAATGCATCAATTCTTCTATGTTTTCCTTATTCATTGTCTAACTTTCACATGCATCTGAGGCTATTGAAAATATCTTGGCTTGGGTCAGGTGCACCTTAGTC